TTCAGTGAAATTAAGATGACCAGAGGGACAGCACACAGAGAAGGAAACCTGGAATAGCCCAGGTGTGGATGCCTGATGCTCCATTTCAAACCACTACAGGAATACTGTTGGTAACTTCACTCCAGCTCATGGGGCACTATCAAAGGGCATGGAGCCAGCCACCTTCTCTGGAGTTCAGGAAACCCCCTGGAAAAAGGAAAAACAAAAACCACAGGCTGAAAATGGGGACATTCATGTTAAGATCTGTCCTTGGGCCATTGTTTTAAAGGTTTATTTATTTATTTATTTATTTATTTATTATGTACACCTTCACGACAGAAGAGCCACCATGTGGTTGCTGAGAATTGAACTTGGAACCTCTGGAAGAGCAACCAGTGTTCTTAACCTCTGAGCCCCTCTTAATCTCTCCAGCCCCTTCAGTTCATTCTTAAGGATGAAATGTGTCTTTTACAGAAAACTTGTGGTTTTAAAAATAAAATAAGCAGAGTAGACTGGCCTGAGCCCTTCCTGGAGCACCAGGAGCAATGTCCACTTGAGGTTCAAGGAACAGATTACCCAGAATACATCAAAGCAAACCCTGCTAGGGCCAGGACACATCAGGCCTACATTGGCATGCTTTAAAGGATAGCTGTGAGCAGTCAAGGAAGGGATCAGGATTCTACAGCTCAGTTTATGAAAAGGATTAACACCCCAATGAATAAGCTATCAAATTCTGTAAATAACAGCTCACAGACAAGAATAAAAGTATCTTAAACATGAAAATATGGCCAGTACCCAAAAATTGTAAAAGAAAGCGGGGTTCAGTCTTCAATGAGATATTGGACTATGAGGTAGGCAGGGGCAGCAGCAGTCTTCCAGGAGGCACTTCGGACCTAAGAACATATAGTCCTTCATTCTTCTGGCTTATTTCATTTGTGGAAGTATTCCAAGTTGGCCCTTCTGTCACAGAAATGGCAAAGGGCAGAGGTGGTCTTCATTCCATCTACACCATACATAGATGGATGTTCAGAGAAATGAAGAGGTTGTCATTTTCCTGTGATTTTTCAGGGCTTACTTCTGAAGAGAAGCAGCTGATCTGAAGCCAACCTGTCTTCCATGTACCTATACTCCACTTGTTGAGACCTTACAGTCACCAGTAACCACACAGAAGGGATTAGCTGCTAGTGTCTAAAGGGCAGACTTGCCTTGTTGTTCTAGAGATAAGAATGGCTCTGGTACCTTCCCTAGTCTCCACTGTCAAAGGGAACTCCACAGAGGTGAGATAATTGTGTTCTATCTATAGAGAGAGGGTGTAGGAAAAGACCAAAGTCCTGAGCAGAAGGCAGCCTCACAGCTTGGGTGTGGTCAGAGCTCGGAGGTTTTCTGGTCCTTTTTCATGGCCCTTCATCAGAGAGACTCACACTTTAGTGATCCAAAGGACACAGGGCACCAGCTTTCAGACTGAGACTCTGAGTAGGGCATGGCAGAAATGTGACTCCCCCCCCCGCCCCCGCCAAACTGGAGCCAGCCCAGGGTGTGAAGAAAGGCAGGGCATGCACATGGCCTCTGTGGCTTCTACACAGCTTCCTGTAAGCCTGGCACATGAGTCCTGTGGGATTGGAGGACAGAGCCAAAGTAAGGCATGGCTTCCTCCCTTGAGAAAGAAGCTGAACCACAACTAGAACACATGGGAAGCTATGGTCATGGAGCAGCTGCTGCCAATCTTTGAGGAAACAGTGGTTGGAGACATTTCTGAACACAGCCTTTGGACCCAGAGCCCATCTTTTATATTACCAGACAGAATAGGAAGTGGGAACCTTATCTTGTCTCAGGGAGGTGGAATGCCAATGCATGGGTTCATGGCATCACAGTCTCATCCCAATGTCCACAAGAACCCTTCAGCACAACTCCTTTGGGTCTAAGAATGCAGAGCCCTAGGATGGCTCAGGATCTGTTGAGTCTGGGGGGTTCCCAAGTTGGGTGTCAAAATTTGCTGAGATTCTTGGGCTGCCCTGGCCCATGGCCATAGAGTCCAGAATGAGGATACAAGCTTTCTGTGTGCAGTTGGTGATGCCGCATATACTTGCCCTGAGCTCTCTGTGGGCAGCACATGTGGATCTTCTTATCCACATTCTGGCCTCTCCCTGGAATAGAGACAGCACCCAATGAGAGAGCATGAGTCTATAAACCCCAGAAATATCAGACCCTCCAGATATTTTCCTGCCAATGGCCCTGGTACCTCAAAAGGCTGGATAATCTTGGACGGGGACCAAGGAATCAAGAAATCTCCCTGGCAACCTCCCTCTCAGCAGCTTCCCTCATTCTGAGCTGGTACCTTCTCTGATATACTTGTCCCAGGCACCTAAGATGGTCTGGAAATTATATCATGTTTGTGGCCTTGCCAAGCCTTTCGTATTACAGGATGGGCCCCATAGCTAACTCCACCTGATATTAATGAAAGCTTTCAGAGAAGAGAAGAGAAACTTGATTCAAATTGAAAATGTGCACCTAGGGAACACAACTTTGGGGCACAGGCAGGAAGTCCTTCCAACCCCCAAAGTACAACCCATGTGTCTGTGCCAGCTAAAACCTGACCCTCCCCAAAACTCAGAGTCTGGACTGGTGACTACAGGTGGTAACCAATGATGTGACAGGGTCTCTGTTACGTTGGTGATTTCTGGTGACAGGCTAGCAGGTTGACATTGAAGTGACAACCTGATCTGACATTTGCTTCTCTCCAGGCTTATGCACCATTTGTATGTAGTTCAGGGCTGTCATGGTTAAGGACAGTAGCAGCCTCCACCCCGTGGGTGGAGGGGCCCTGCTAATCCCTGCAAACCTTGCAATTATTGTGAAGAAACCAGCCAGGGAGCCCTGTCAAGGCTGTCCAGTCGAGAAGGGCGGGTCCAAAACCATCCTCTAGGCCCCACCATCATCAGCCCCACCAAGAGATGCTTTTTCTGAGACCTGGTTGATTACCATACCACCCTGGATCAAGGGGGATTTTGGATGAATGGAGGTGGGGGTGGGAAGTGGGAGTCTGGGGGGAACACACACCTTTTTTTTTAAGATTTCGGACATATCATCAACATAACAACCTTGGTGAATGAATTTGATTGTACAAAACATTACTTAAGCCAAAGGGGGAAGCCATGTCTATCAGCATTCAATTGTGTTAAAACCAGGCTTAGCACAGGAGAAATTAGATCACCTTTCTTTTGAGTCCAAATCAGACACAAGACCCATGGCTAAATGGCTGTGCTTCTTTACAGGGTGGAGCTGAGCACCTGTCAAGCTCTAGCAGGATTGATGATAGCTGAGGAGACTGAGGGCCTGAGGGGATTGACAGGGGTCAAGCTTGAGTATCAGGAAGCCAACTAGTTTCTACCTGGGGTTCTGGAGACCCTTGCTGTAGGATCTACTACTCCTAAATGCTGTGATCCCAGAGGTGTCATGGGGGACATGAGGAGCATGAGTTTCCTAAAGGGGACTGCAATGGAATGGGTTTAATCTCAGGAACAGCCAGGTCAAATTGGGAAAGAGGGCACCTACCTTGGAGGCAAGGGCAGTCTATCTGTCCAACTTAGGTCACTTCCTCTCAATTGCTATGTAGCTTCCACCTGTGGAGTCTGTCATGGGGTGGGAGGTTCTGTCATCCGGTACACATACTTCGTTACCCTTGGGTGAAATGGAGATTCCATAAGGTAGAGACACTAGTTTGGTGTGGCTGAGCTCTATCCAGCTCTTGGCCTTGGCTCTGTCTATGTGTGCCAGCTGTGGGCAGGAACAATTCATCTCCAGAAGGACCAAGTCATCATCAACAATGCTCTCTCATCCCCCATCAGCTGTGGGTAGCTGGGGAGACAGAAGAGCTTTACATTATCCCAGGTACCCAAGAAGAGATCCATCTAATACAGTGGTCCCCAGCCTTCCTAAGGCTGTGAGCCTTTAATACAGTTCCTCATGTTGTAGTGACCCCCAACCATGAAATTATTGTTGTTGCTACCTCATAACTATAATTTTGAGACTGCTATGAACTGTAATGTAGATATCTGTGTTTTCCAATGGTTTGGGGGGTTGTGACACACAGATTGAGAACCATTGATAGCAACTTCTGCAGGAAGTGTCATCAAAACCCCAGGCGGAAACTAGTTGGCTTCTTGATATTCAAGCTTACAAGAAACCAGTGACTACCCTGATCTCATGGGTGCACACGGGTGGGGGTGGGGGTGGGGGGTGGCTTCTGTTGTGACTCCTCCCATTCCTCTGGGGAACCTTGTCTCCAGATCTTCACTTTGCCACTGTAGTCCCGTATAGGCCCTGATCTCCCTGATCCTCTTTCCTTCCCACAGTCTTTCATCTGTCCCACAAGGTCACCAGTGTCGTCCCTGAGAGCGCTCTGCTCATCGTTCTGGGCCTGGTGCTGGGTGGCATCGTCTGGGCAGCTGACCACATTGCCTCCTTCACACTCACACCCACGCTCTTCTTCTTCTACCTGCTACCCCCCATTGTGTTGGATGCTGGATACTTCATGCCCAATCGACTCTTCTTTGGTAACCTGGGCACCATTCTGCTATATGCTGTCATTGGCACCATATGGAATGCAGCCACCACAGGATTGTCCCTCTATGGTGTCTTCCTCAGTGGCCTAATGGGTAAGTCTATATATTGTCCCCTGGGTGAGCCAAAGTAAAGGTGTAGATCACAGACATAGAAGGGTTGGGGCTAAGGGTGACAGGCAGTGTCTTTGGGGACTACTTAAGTAAATAGCCTGGTATTTGTAAGAAGGTTCAGTCTATAAGTAGCTTCCTTGGAACATCTGCAAGCTAAGGCTTTTGTGTCGTGTTCAGAACAGATTTGTGACCGCACAGACCAGCAGGATGGGTAAGTGTGCATAGGTAGCTATTCTCTCTTGCTCCTGACATAGTTGGCAGAGTGGTGTGAGCCAGCTGTTCAACCCCCATGGGAGAAAGAGATGAAAGTGGACTGCTCCTAGACTCATGAGTGAATTACAGAGTTGAGCATGCCAAAGTCTTGAGTGGTTTGGTGCTGTTTCTGCTCAAATCTGCTAGTGATTACTTCACTTAGCCTTGGTTACCTCCCAGGAACACCCCACCCTCTGTGCTAAATCTTTGTCTAGCTGGGAGACAGCAGGTGATGTCTGAGCAGACATGAGTAGGTGTTCACAGGAGGACTCAGAGTCAGGACTTTCCCTTTGGCACATTCACTGAGTGAATGAGACCCTTGAAATCCTAGAGACCAAGGAGAAACAGGGAACAGTAAACCCAGGAACTATCAATTGCTTGGGACCTTATCATTTTAGGGAGTTCCTGGGGTCCCTGCTGTCCAGTATCATTAGAGACCACAATGGTAAGGACCTGCCTGGCTAATAAGACTCTAGGCATCCTGCTCTGGAGTTGGTACTACTGGTCACACTGGTGATGCCATAAGGCAATGGGACACATCTAAGATGGCTGTCTCCCTCTGGCCCTGGAGAGACGCCTTGGGATACAGAGTGGGGACTTCTGGAATCTAATACCCATAACCCTTCAAGGGTCATGCTGGTCCTCACTTTACAGCCTTGTCACCCATAAGATCCCAGCATGTGATGTTCCTGGAGCTGTTTTTAGGGTGCATGGAGAATCCGCTAACAAACTGACTTATGGTGTAAGCACAGGTCTTTAAGCTAGCTGAGACTTGGCAAATGTGCTTACATTTGCCCAAATCTAGAGTATTTTAATCTCTGGGGACACCCAGGCCCATTTTCCTACCATGCCATAGCCATGAAGAATTGTTACACCACAGTGTCTTTTAATAACCATTATTGTTGTGTATCACTGCCTGCAGACTCTCCCATGATAGACACAGGCTGGCATCCTGTGTCCACCTTTGGAACCTTGCTGGTCAAAGCAGACCAGAAAGATCGTACTTGTCCCATGAGCTCCCTTTTCTCTGTGACTCTGGCTGATGGTTTACCCAGGATTGCCTAGGCAGTGGTGAGTCCCTGAAGTCAGCAGCTCAAGGCCAGGGTTCACTCACCCTTACTGGGAGAGTCAGGCTAGGCCAGCTATCCTGCAGGTCATCAGTTCTAGGCCTAAGGCAAATGTGGGCGCACTTTCCAAGTTGGGGGGGGCAGTCCTGGTTCAGTGGACTGTACATCTGCTGGGATCCAGCTTGTTTTTGGAGTGTATTCTGGTTCTGTCAAGATTCTAGAACAAGAGGCTGGTTCTGCTAAGGCATTTCAAGGCTGGACCAGAAGCTGGTTTGCTCTGGAAAGCTGGGCGGGGCATATATAGCGTGGCAGTTGAGTGTGTGGTCCTTTTCTGAATGGAAACTCAGGAAGACTCTGGTCTTAGTTAGAGGCAGCATAATTTATTAATCACAGACATATGGGGCTCAAGTCACTACAGAGACCACTCTGTTCTTTGACTTCTACTCTTTTTCTGGGGCACACTAGATATCTGGGGGTACTTACTTCCCAAGGTTCATTCCTTTGTCCAAAGGATGGCAAGTTCTTCCCCAGCTCAAAAAAGAGAGTGAAGCACTTCATGGGGAACTTGTAGCTTTACACATTCTGGGGTGTCTGGCTGCGAGCTCTAGTCTCTGAGATTCTCTTTGTCACTGGGTAGCCCTGGGAAGAGTTGTGTCTAGCTTTTAATCCTGATGTCTCTGATCTCCTAGGGACCTGATAGATGTGGGATTTGGACAAAGGGAGCCAAGTGTCTAGCCCTTGTCCCATGGTCCACATCTCTTGCAGGTGAGCTGAAGATTGGACTCCTGGATTTCCTGCTTTTTGGTAGCCTCATTGCTGCTGTGGACCCTGTGGCTGTGCTGGCTGTGTTTGAGGAAGTCCATGTCAATGAAGTTCTTTTCATAATTGTTTTTGGAGAGTCACTGCTGAATGATGCAGTGACTGTGGTGAGTGATGGTGGGGGTCCCTGGGGTAGTTGTAGAACACTTCACTTGACAAGTGGGCATTGCCAATATGCCTCAGATAGATAAGCTAGATAGAGGTTCATTATCTATACATGGTCTCCCTTTACAGCCATGTTTGCAACCCAGGGATGTCCAGCATCCTGCAGGGTGTTTCCTTCATCTGTCCCCTGGCACAGCGGCCTGGGGGTATGAGTTGGGGGGAATAGGCTCTGGCCTTTATCTGTCTCCCTAACTCAGATTCATCCAATTTCTCTCTTTTACAATCTTAGGCCCACCCATTTCATGCCTTTGGAGGTAATGCTGCCCAGTTGAAATCCCCATATCCATGTCCCCCAGTGGTCTATAATTTTGGACCTACGCTTGCTACTGCTCCTAAGAAACAGACCAATAAACAAACAACAAACTCTTACAGGAATTGCATTAATCTGCTGAGCCCACCATAACAAAATATCACAGAAGCCTGGGGCTCACACAGTGAGAATTTATTGTCTCTGTGCTGAAGGCTGGAGGCTGAGAAACAAGAATGGCAGCTGGCTCTGGAAGCCTCTTTTTTTGGCCTACAGATGGTATCTTTTCTGTGTCCTCACATGGTCATCTTCTGTGTGTGTGTGTGTCCTGAAGTCTTCTTATACACCAAGATCTACTCTATTGATCTCACTTAACCTTAGCTACCTCTCTGAAGACTTATTATCAGACAGCTGCATTCTGAGGTCTTGTGGTCAGGACTCAACATGTAAGTGGAGGAAACACATTCATCTCCTTCAGCGAGTCAAGATTCCCCTGATGACTTCTGGGGTTTCTCAGAACCCTGCAGTGGAGTTAGCATAAGGTCTCCACAAAGATGAGATTGTGTTCACCCTGGCAACAAGAAGCAGGTTCATGAAACATGAGCATAGCTGCTGTTTCCTGCAGTCCTATGGAAACTTCAAAACCTGCCCCCAGATGGACTACAGGTCTGTGGGAGGGGATGAGGGATTAACTGGTTAAGAATGGGCCCAAGCACTTAGCTGACACCTGAGGAAGTGTGTTTGGTTTCTTCTGCCATCTGAAAGTGCCTGTGGTCCCTAAGAAATTCCCCATGTCTTGTGCTCCCTTGGATACAGAAGAACTGCAGTGTGCATTGTATCAGATTTCTGTGTGTGCCAGAGACTCTTAGGGCCCATCTGATACCTAGTCTGAAATTCAAAAAATAGCTCTTAGCCTTCTTGAGCCACAGTGGCCCCAAGGTTTCCTGTGGACCAAGGGTTACCTCCTGCACTCATGTTTCATGCCTTTCCTACCTTCATCCTCATAAGGAAGTTCAGCCCCACAGATGGCTTGCTCAGGACTCAGTGCCCATCATGGCTAAACACTCTGCGCAGCTGCCTCAATATTCCTTGAACATTGAGCATAGAACAAGAGTCTACAAGAGCATAGAACAAGAGTCAGAGATTGGGCCTGTTTCCTTGGATCTGGGACACCTACTTGTCTGCACATCCCACTTGCTCACTCCTCTGTTGACCATTGTCACTTTCTGCTGGCTTTACAAGTGTTTTTTTTTTCAGTTTCTGGTGTCAATTCTGGGGCCTAAATCCAGAAAAGAGGGGGCACTGGACAGGGAGGGGTCAGTGTGGATGCAGGGCTGACCAGATGTGTTCCTGTCTTCTGTACCCTTAGGTCTTGTACAATGTTTTTGAGTCTTTTGTGACGCTGGGTGGTGACAAGGTGACTGGCGTGGATTGTGTGAAAGGCATAGGTATGTATTGGGAGGGTTCCTGCCTAGCCTGTCTCAGATCTAGTGGTCCAAGAGTGCAGAGGCTTGCCTCCTCTCTAGAATAGAATCCCTAGGGCTTCTGCTATCCTGGGGTCTCTAGGATTTATTCTGGTTACTTACCAGGCTGGGTTTCTTTCCTAGAACACCACATAAACATTACTGGATGAAGGTTCTGCGGGGGAGGGGGTGGTGGTGGTGGTGGTGGTGGCGGTGTTCTGTGTGTTATTCTGAGAAGGGATGTGGATGGTCAATACAGGTCTTTCTAAGCAAGGACAGATGGACAGTGTATAAGGACACAGGGTTCAGACCTTGCTCCTGACCCAAGCCTGCAGAGACAACAAGGCAATGCTCCCTTTCATGGAGTCCCGTTTTCTGTGTACCATGCCTCTCTCCTCTGTCTCCTGCACTAAACTTGGAGACCAGACACTCTCATTGAGAGCAATATTGCCTCATTTCCTAAACTTTCAGCATTTCTGTAAGCAGTTACTTGGAGCCTCCATGAGGAATGATCAGCCAGCCTGGTCACTTTTACTGACATCACCAGTCACAAAGGACCATTCATTCCTTTCTCTCACAGTGTCCTTCTTCGTGGTGAGCCTAGGGGGCACTCTGGTGGGTGTTATCTTCGCCTTCCTGCTGTCCTTGGTGACTCGCTTCACCAAGCATGTGCGTATCATCGAGCCTGGCTTCGTCTTTGTCATTTCCTACCTGTCTTATCTGACCTCCGAGATGCTGTCCTTGTCAGCCATCCTGGCGTAAGTCTCCCTCCAGGAATAACCTCCTGCTGTTGGCTGGGTTGGGTAGGTGGCTTTCGAGCTGGTGATGTGCCAGAGATCCCCTGCATTCAGACTCTGGCAGAAGGTGCCAGAGGGTATATTGTGCTCCTTGCCATCATTCTGGTGAAGGGGCTGTGGGAATGTACCTGGTACCTGCCTGCTGTCCTCTTCTTGGAGCATGAACTGTAAGCCCATTGTGTAGCTTCTATGGCTTTCATAGTTAGGTAGAAATTCATTGGCAGGGGCAAAGAAGTAAATCTAATTTTCGTTTGTTTTTTGAGACAGGGATTCTTTGTGTAGCCTTGGCTGTCCTGGAACTAGCTCTGTAGACCAGTTTGGCCTTAAACTCACAGAGATCTGCCTGCCTCTGCCTCCCGTTTGCTAGAATTAAAGGCATGTGCCACCACTGCCCAGCTCTAATTTTTTTTTAAAATAAGAAGTCTATAAGTCCTCAGAATTGTCCTTGGCTAGACAGGTGCCTACTGAGAGGACAGGTAGGTGTGTGCTGTGGCTTGTGATTCAAGAATGAGCTGTCCAGAAACCCTATCAGAGCCTCTACTGGCATGCAGCCTCACACTCAGGCAGGAGCCTCCTGACACCAAAGTTGGCCCCAAGCTTCTCCAAAGGCTAGTATGACCTGGTTACCAGTCAGCTACCAACAGGCCCACAGGCTTGACGGCTGTTTCTTCATTGAAACTCCACATCTACTCTTAGAGCATGGGAGCACCTGGGATCAGGGCATTGATCCTCAGGAAGAGCAGGGTTCCCACAACACAGGACTGTTCATTGTAGATTACATCTGCTGCTGTAGATGCAGAGGTCAGTAATGCCACCAGAGGAAGTAGGGATGGCAGGAGCTGGGCCTGGAATCATCTGGTCTGAGGCATCAGCCTGCCTGAATAGAGACAGGGAAACCTCACACTGCCCCTTCTCCAGCATCACCTTTTGTGGCATCTGCTGTCAGAAGTACGTGAAGGCCAATATCTCAGAGCAGTCGGCCACCACTGTGCGCTACACCATGAAGATGCTGGCCAGTGGAGCAGAGACCATTATCTTCATGTTCCTGGGCATCTCAGCTGTGGACCCCCTCATTTGGACATGGAACACGGCTTTTGTGTTGCTGACGCTGGTCTTCATTTCTGTATACCGAGCCATTGGTGAGGGTTAGGGGCACTCTTGGGAGTGTCTAGGCTCCCTTAGTTTAGGTCATAGATTTGAGGGCCCCAGGGCAGCTCAGTAGCAAGTCCAACCACTGATCTCTATAAAGGCCAAGATTTTTCAAGGTGCAGCATGGGGACCGATGAGGCACCAAGGGACAGGATCAAGGAATGGGAGAGAGAAGCTGGGATGAGAGCAGCACTGTTGCCTCATCCTACAGAGGGCCTGGCCAGTAGTGCCCTTGGGGAGAGACCTACTGCCCAGCCTTCATAGTCAGCCAAGGGGCAAAGGGTCAAAAGGCTTTAGGGAACCCTGAGGTGTGGCCTTGGGGAAAGCAGCCATGGAGCTGAGTGACCTCTCGCTACAGGTGTTGTTCTGCAGACCTGGATCCTGAATCGTTACCGCATGGTGCAGCTAGAGACCATTGACCAGGTGGTCATGTCCTATGGTGGCCTGCGTGGGGCAGTGGCCTATGCCTTGGTGGTGCTTCTGGATGAGAAAAAAGTCAAGGAGAAAAATCTGTTTGTTAGCACCACTCTCATTGTGGTCTTCTTCACAGTCATCTTTCAGGTGTGGCTCAGCTTGCCCAGGGCACTGCCTCAGGTTGTTCAAACCTTGATCCTACCTAAGAGCAACTGTCCCTACCTCAACCCTGTAGGTTGAGGGTTTCTAGATTCCACACTTTAATTGGTTTCTGTAATTTTAGTAATTAGGAGCATTTTGTAGGTTTTCATGTGGCCCCACAGGGGACATAACATCATTTGTCCTAAAAGTGTTACTTCCCATCCAGGACTTAAGAGAACAGACCTAGTTACTTCCTGACTGCTGGTTGGTCAGGCACTAGCAAGCACCTACTACACTGGCTGGCCAAAGTGACAGCTGGAGGTTCTGACATCCATATGGATATCCACAGCACAGGGGCTTTGGGACATCTTTTTATAGGGCAGTGCCAATGGATTCATGGGTCCCTGTACTATCTACAGTGGGAGAAGAGATCTGATGTCTGTCTGGTTTGGGCTTAGAGGGCCCTGCTGGGTATGGGGATCCTACCTGGCACCTGAATTAGGTTGTCTTTCAGGGCCTGACTATTAAGCCCCTGGTGCAGTGGCTGAAGGTGAAGAGGAGTGAACAGCGTGAGCCGAAGCTCAATGAGAAGCTACATGGTCGGGTAAGAAGAGGGTAGAAGAGTACAGCCTGGGGAGGCACAGTGTGGGATAGGCTGAGGGTGAGGATGGATAGTCAATTAAGTTTCTTTCCTCTGAAAGGCTTTTGACCACATCCTCTCTGCCATTGAGGACATCTCAGGACAAATTGGACACAATTATCTCAGAGACAAGTAAGTAGTAATAAGCTGTAACCTTCCTTCTCCTAGCAGTGACCCCTCAAACATAGAACTCTGGGTCCCACACATGCAGACAAGGCCACAAAAAACCACTGGAAGCCACATCAGTTGTGTTACCATAATTCAAGAACCACAAAACAGCATTTCTGGAGGACCTCTCCATTCAGAAGAGTCAGAGACAAAATGTCTGGGTTGTAGGCTGACCCTGAAGTATATATGTTGGGGAGAGTGAACAGAGTACAATGCATGGACACCTTGTCATGTGTCCTCCATTCCCAGGTCAAGGGCTTAAGTGTGCACTAGATTCCCGGGTGCAAGCAGGTGAAAAACAAAGTTAATACTAGCTGAGAGGACAGAGCAGCCACCAATCTAGGGACCTGAATCTTATTCCCAATGATCCTCCCAGTAGAAAGATACCCTTCTACTGACCAATTAATGCTAAATTTAAATAATGTAGGAATTAAAAATCAGGAAAATAAATTAAATTAACACTTGTTAATACCTGTTTTGAGATAATTAAAGTCCATATGAGGTTGCAGAGTTAACTTGAATAATGCACCCTAGACAGCAATGTCTCAGGAATTAGAACTATGGCTGCTGGTGTCTTAATCTTAGTCTTGTCCTCACAGCACCAAGGAGGGTCAGGTAGCCACTTGGAAATCTGATCACTCAAAAATGGCATATAGTTCCACTGCCAGCCACTGTCAAATGGGAGAAAGCAAAGGGTGAGATCTGAGGTGGCCTGAGACCTTTCACGTTAAAACTCACTTTCAAGTTGTTACAATAAGTTAAACCCAGGAGAAAAAGACTGGTCCTATGTTGGGCTTAGCTCTGGCAGACATTTGCCTGTTCTGACCTTGTTCTAGTCCATGTGGGGTAGGCTGCCCCAGACTCCCAGTGCTGATGTGATCTTTTTTCCCCCAGGTGGTCCAATTTTGATAGGAAGTTCCTCAGCAAAGTCCTCATGAGAAGATCGGCTCAAAAATCTCGAGATCGGATTCTGAATGTTTTCCATGAGCTGAATTTGAAGGACGCTATTAGCTATGTGGCTGAGGTATTTGAATACCCTATTTGTCCCTTTGCTAAAGTTGAGGGCTAATGTAAGACAATACATGTGGTCTAGGACATGGGCAGAGGGCAGTGGTGAGTGACCCTTGTGCTCTATGCTTGGATGGCTCACTGCAAAAGCCCATGTGAGGTTTGGAGTTGTATTCTGGGAATAGGGCATGTCAGAGTTCCCTGTCACTCAGGAACCAGAGGCATAGGCACAGTGACCATCTGGATACTGTAGTTTTGGTAGAACTGACATGGTGACTAGGCTCTATAGGAGTCTGAATGCCTGTATTTTCCCTGAAGAGAATGGAAAAGCTTGGGAAATAGAGAGTAATGGGTCCAGGTCCTCTATCTACTCACACATATATGTTGTACTCAGCAACAAGTTGGTAGATACTTCCTACTGGCTGCCAACCTTAAGGAGCAGCCCTACATGAGCATACACAAATGTATACACATGGCTGATACATGCACACTCAAATCTATAGGAATGCTCACATATACATATGTGAACATACATATACCCAGGTACAGGTGCACTTATCCATCCATCCATACATATGTACACACATATATGTGGACTTATGAACACATGTGTATGCATAGATAACAACACAGACACACACATACACATTCATATTAACTCCTCCAATGACATGCATGTGACTATCTTATAGCTAGTGCATTCATGACCCACCCACCCCTATCTGGGCCCCATGGCATCCTTTATAGATAGACATAGGTCCAACCAGACACCACATGACTCCATGGCCATTGCCACCCAAGTAATATCGTGGTGCTCAATCTGAGATGCCTCCTCTCTTTGACAGGATTTATAAAGAATTCCAACCTTTTATGACCCTGGGTGACCTTGGCACAATGACAAGGATGGAGGATAAGAATGAAAGGGTGGGTTGAGGTCTCTGGCAGCATTCACTTGTCACTTTCTCTCAGTCTCTGAGAGGATCTTTAGCTCTGACTTCACACTAGTCAGAGCCCTGAGCCTCACCTGTTCCCCACTGCAACAGCCAGAATGTCTTGAGCTTTGTACCAGCACTTCCGTCACTGTTGGGAGAGATGGCTCCAAATCCTACATGGATGGTTTGTCTATACCAGTCCATCCCCACCCGGAGATTCTTTTCCCCCACCCTTGACCATTTGTCCAGGAACCCCAGCAATATTTCAGCTCTAAGTCTCTGCCCTAAGGGTCACCTGACTTCCTTCCTGATATCCCTACCCTTGGGGTGAGGGGTGCCTGGCATCATCGATGACATAGGAGAGATGACTGCCCACACCTAAGGAGGATGAGTGGCAAAAAAGAATACAAAAAACAGTGGATTTGGAAGAAAAAGACCAAAAAGTCCTAGCCCATACCAGTGATAAGCCAAATACCCTGGTGTAGGCAGTCCAAGACAAGTACCAAGTGTTTGCTGTCACCAGACTATCCACACAATCCCATCCTCTTTGAAGGGCTCCTAAGGGAGCGCCTCACAGACTGTCAAATACAATGATGTGTTGACAGTTAAGGGAGGAACACAGCTGATAGGTCATCACCCTTCTAACCCTGGCACAGCTGTCCCCTGGGGACTCTACCTGAGGCCACAGTGTATTGTTGTCTGTGACCCTCAGTAGCTTCTCACTTTGCTGATTCAGACCCTAGAAGGAAACAGCTTTTCTGTCCTCTGGTAATTTTGCTTCTTGACCTGCTCTGTTCTGTGTGGTTTTGACTTGCATCCAAACAAAGGCATGTGGATTGGTGGCTCTGGTGGGGACAAAAACTATCTCCCCCCAACCTTCAAGTGGGGGTGGTATACCCTAGACTTGTCAGTGTCCTTTAAGAGATTCTGTTTCTACCTACTGTTTTTTTCTGCTCAACTCTTAGCTCTGATCCTCTCAAGTGATGCTTTGATGATCTCTACTTGGACCTAATCCCAGCTCCTACCTTGTATCTTGGCTCTGGCTGAGCTGTAAGGTGTCCCTTGGTTTTGGACAGGGTCCATCTTGGGGCTCCATCTCTGCCTCCCAGAGCCAACAGGCCCCTGAGCTTGGTCACAAGATCTTTTGACTTCTCTGTGGCAGGTGCTGTCCAAGGGTTATCCCTGAGTACTGATGAGTCTATATCCTTCTTGTAGGGAGAGCGCCGTGGGTCCCTGGCCTTCATCCGCTCCCCAAGTACGGACAATATGGTCAATGTGGACTTCAGCACACCCCGCCCATCTACTGTGGAGGCATCTGTCTCCTATCTCTTGTATGTGACCAGTTCATAAACTTCTCTTGGAAAGGGTACTCCTTAAAAGCGTCTCTCTCCTGACTCTTCAGCCTACTAGCACCTTCTGCAGGTGTTGAGGCAATTGAGTCAGGAGAGTGTGAGTAGACTGGTGTAGAAGGGTGCAGAAAGATGCCTGCATCCCCACCTGTGGAAGCACAACTTTACTCAGCAATCATCAGGACTGTTTGTGGTGCACTGGTATTAGAGAAGAGGAGGGCAGGAAGGGATAGTACCAGATGCCTGACTTGGTCCAGCATTTCATACCCTCTGCCCCTGGGCAGCTGACGACCACTTCTTATGATGGTGGCTGTTCTAGCATTCTAGTGCTTAGGAGAGGCTGTGGGCCTCAGACTCATAGCTGGGCTGTGGACTGGTGATAGTGGGGTTCAACCTCATACAGAAGTCTAGAAGGCACCCTGGGAGACCATTTGAGCAGTGTGGGAAGGGACTACCAGGTATCTAGGCAGGGCAGAAGACCTCTGTGTAGCTATCCCCCTGGGCTCAATGTTGGTCCATGTAGGAGGGAGAATGTCAGCACTGTATGCCTGGATATGCAGTCCTTGGAGCAGAGGCGGAGGAGCATTCGTGACACTGAGGACATGGTCACCCACCACACACTGCAGCAGTACCTGTACAAGCCTCGGCAGGAGGTGGGTACCAGGGGATGAGCCACCCAGAGCCTGCCCTCCTATCCCATAGAGTAAGCTTTGGTCGTCCCTTCATGTGCCGTGGCTGGTGGAACTTAGCCCCACGTCTAGAGCAATGTCTGCCTCCTTCTCAGACAAGGGGTCTACAAGGGCTGAGCTGGAAGCTTTGTGAGCCACCTGGGCCATACAGGCCCAGCTAACTGCCAGTTGCTCCCACAGTACAAGCATCTCTATAGTCGGCATGAGCTAACACCCAACGAGGATGAAAAACAGGACAAGGAAATCTTCCACAGGACCATGAGGAAGCGCCTGGAGTCCTTCAAGTCAGCCAAGCTAGGCATCAACCAGAACAAGAAGGCAGCCAAGCTGTACAAGAGGGAGCGTGCACAGAAGCGGGTGAGGGAAGGTGGGGCCGGTGGGGTCAGTGGTTGTTGGGTGGACTTCTAAATACTGGGAAGGGTCAAGAAACTCTCTGTGGTCCTGCTGGCCAGACAAGCTATCAGGTGAACAGCCTTTCACCAGAGCAGAGACCCTTGAGGTCTAGGACAGAAAATGAAGTCTCAGCAGGTTAGAGGTCTGGGTGTCGGTGTGTCTGTAAGAGCTCATACTTGTCCACAGAGGAATAGCAGCATTCCTAATGGGAAACTTCCCATGGAGAACCTGGCACACAACTTCGTCATCAAGGAGAAAGGTAAGACCTGTTTCTCTGCATGTGCTTGACTCAGAAGGGACTCCGGACTCTACCATGGCTGTATTCAGGGATTCTGACACTGGGCCTCCATGCATCCCTTGTTGGGGGTGGTGCCACTAGGCCAGGCACTCTTAGTGCTCTTCTCTAACCCTCTTGTTGCTATACCATAGAGAAGCACTCCCCCTGTGGAATGGAGAGACATCTCAGTGGTTAAAAGTGGTTGCTGTTCTTCCAGAGGAACCAAATTCAGTTCCTAGCACCCACATAAGGCAGCTTAAGCCACCTGGGACTCCAACTCCAGGGAATCTAATACCCTCTTCTGGCCTCTGTGGGCACCACACACACCAGTGCGCGCGCGCGCGCGCACACACACACACACACACACACACACACACACACACACACACACACACACACACACACAGCCTTTCTCCATCCTTTTCATTGTAGGCCTTAAGGTCCCAGCCTCTGCTATCCAATAGACCTTCCCAAAGACCAAGTATGGTTGGGGGTCACAAAAGGAAACACCATAGGAGTGGCTTAGGTCTTTGCGCAGCTGGCCCCAGCCACTTGGACACTGGGCTGGTCGGGTGTTGTGAAAAACTGCCTGTGTGTATTATGTGTGTGGGGGGGTGGGAGGTGCCACCAGCCAAAAAGAACTTGAGTCATCCTTGCCCAAAATATTTCTCCCTCTGTTACCCAGATTTGGAACTTTCAGAGCCTGAGGAGGTCACCAACTATGAAGAGACCAGTGGGGGCATTGAATTTCTGGCCAATGTCACCAAGGATGTAACCTCTGAATCTGGGGCAGGTGAGATAGGAGAGACCAGTGGGAGAGCTATCCCTGCTTCCCCAAGTGAGTCACGGAAGAAGGAATCAAAGGCTTGGAGAGGCTTAGTGTAGGTCTTGGAGGTGTCACCTCCTCCACTTAGATGTCTCCCAAGAGCAGATGGCAAGTATATCTGGAAGTAGAGGCCGGGTCTGAGAGAGCAGAGATGTTGCCCAACTTGTCTAGGTTGTATGGGGTCTCAAATGAGGAAAAGTGTGGGGTGAGGGTCAAGTGTCTAAGTCTGACCATCCAGGTTACCTTGAAGGTAGTAGCCACAAGAACAGCTGACATAGTCACCCAGTACAGAGCCTATCTACCCAGCCTCCTACTGCCCGTGGCGGTATTTCTTAGTGGTTGACCAGATGCCCTTTCTCTTAGGAATTGATAATCCGGTGTTCTCCCCTGACGAGGACCTGGACCCAAGCATCCTATCCAGGGTGCCGCCCTGGCTGTCCCCTGGGGAGACGGTGGTGCCCTCTCAGAGGGCCCGTGTCCAGATTCCCAACTCTCCCAGCAACTTCCGCCGTCTGACACCATTCCGCCTCAGCAACAAATCAGTGGATTCCTTCCTGCTGGCCGATGGCCCTGAGGAACAGCTCCAACCCGCTTCCCCTGAGTCCACACACATGTAACTAATTGGCTTCTTCCTCTAACACCTGCTTTCTTCCTAGCTATTGCCTTCCGACCTCTCTCCTGGACCTGCACTGTCTCAGACTTTCCAACAGCTTTCTTCACTCTGTAGACCCTGTCGAGCTGTATTTTTCTTAGGAGACTGATGGAGGACCCCCATTTGAGTCTGCTTCTCTAGCTAATGTGTAGCAGACAGATACATTTGAGGCCTGGCATGGTGGTGTATGGCTGTAAACCCAGCGTTTACAAGAGATAGGTAGGATGGCTAAGGGTTTGAGGCCAGCCTGGGCAACATAACAACATAGAAGTTATTCTGTGGTCAGGTCTCATGTTCATTTCAGATGAAAATGAAAGTGGGTTTTTTTGGGCGGGGGGATCTGATGGACATTTGTAGAGACCTTTTTATCAATCTAGTGGGAAATGAAATGAAGCACACTCCTTTACAATTGGAGATTCTGGCCAGCGCTGCTGGCAAGACCTGGCATCACTATGTATGTATGTATGTATGTATGTATGTATGTATGTATGTATTATATAGAGTGGCTCTTTCCTAAGAGAATCCAGTTTTGAAATGATGTGGCAGGGACAGGAAACCTACATGGTCCCACTGCTCCTTGCTTCTGTTTCTGGCCTTGCTACCCCTGCCCCGCCCCCCTTTTGAGACAGGGTTTCCCTGTGTAGCTTTGGCTGTCCTGGAACTAGCTTTGTAGACCAGAAAGGCTTGGATCTCAGAAATCTGCGTGCATTTGCCTCCTGAGTGCTGGGATTAAAGGCCTGGCTTTCCCCCTCATTCTTAAACTCTATTGTTTTGAAGCAGAGCCTTGTGTGCCTAGAAGCTTGTGATGGGTTTTGGGGGTAGAGCAGTAGTACCCAGGGGTGAGTATGGCACTGATGCCCCTGTAGAGGGGGCTGCTGTCAAGGGCAGGGTTTGAAAGGGTCAGAACATCGGGAGTGCTCCAGATCTGCTGGCTGCATGGTGCACAGGTGCCCAGCTGCCTAGGAAGTTTCATTGACAATGGCTGGAACTCTCTGCAAGTCTGCAGTAGTGTACAGCAGAATATGTTCGACATTTGGTGTGGAAGGTTAGGGGTCCCTCCTTGCACTTGAGCCGGCACCTAGTTTTGGGCAAGCCACAGAAGAACAGCAAAATCAGGGGGAAGGGAAACCTGGGTTGACTACAGGTTTCTGTTGGTCAGTGTTCCTCTGGACTGGGAGCCACTCACACCCTGTCTTCCCGCAGGTGACACAGGCTCTGACACACCGCTCACCGGAAGCTTGTCCCCGCGTTGGCCACCCACTGCTGCCCAGCAGCCCTTGCTCCCTTCACGGCTGGCTAGCCCACGTGCCCCGAGTCCCACCCCACCTGAGCGCATCTCTCCAGCTACCTTTGCCTCAGGTGAACCGGGGACGGGGCCAGAGCACCGGGTCCCGCCCAGTGCGCACGCTCGGTCTGCGGCTGCGCGCCGTGTACACAGTCGGCGCTCCTTCCAGAGGCCGCGCCCTCGCCGCCGCCCAGCTCTGCTTAAGCTCGCTTCTCTTCCGGGCTCTACTGAACTGCCGCCACACGCTCTGGAGCAAGAAGAGACGCCGTTGTGATCGCTGCCTGGCCGGCGGCCAGTTCAAAAAGTCTCCTTCAGTGGCCCCTCCCCAACCAGCTAGGGTTTCTTAGGGTCCACTGCTCTCTGGGAGTCTTATGCTTCGTCCGGCCCTAGGAAGAATCTTTTCATCCATTGGGCGTCCCTAGAATACCACACTGCCGTTTTCTTGCCCTGGTTCAGTCCCTACTCTTCCGTGGTGCTGCGCCCCCTAATTCCCCTACCCCCAACCCACACATTGGGCCCAGGATTTGTGTTTGCCTCTCTTACTCAGAGAGGAGGAAGACCCTTGAGAGGCCTGTGGCAGACCTCTTATCACTGCTGGGTCAAAGGTCTTAACAATTTAGATTAGGAGATTTGTGGAAGTTGCACTGTCCAGATCAGCCGCATCCTAAATGGGCAGCAGGTTCTTGTGCATCTCCAGAGATACACTCTCCTGAGGCCGTATCTGACCCCCTTCCAAGTTAGTTCTCCAGAGTGTCCTTCCACCTTGTGGCATGTAGGATCAACTGCAGAAATATTCGTTCCAACTTTGGCCTCCTCTAGCTCAAGATTTTCCCTGTTCGGCCCCTCCCAGCCTGGACCTTGCATGCACAAACAAGGTATCTCGCCTGAGCTGTCCCTAAATTGGGAATACTGCAGATGGCCAGACTGGCTGGGCTAGGGGACTAAAGCCGGGTCTACAGGAAACTTTGGTCAGAACTATAGCTAGCTCTCTGTGGACACAGAAGGGCTCTACATCACCCAGGAGGGGGGCATACAGGAGCCCACTGTGGGCTTTTTCCCCTTGACTACAGGACTTCAGTCTTAGAGCACTGTCCCCTGGAGTGGGAAGAGCCGAGTCTTCATCTCTCATCACCTTCCCTCAGATGTCCAATCTTGAAGAGGTCACCTGAGTTTTGCTCCCAGCCCCCTGGAAACTTGGCCTGCACCACAGGATCTCACTTGAGGGGGGCTGAGATGAGGCTAAAGGTGGACTTAGGGACCCCCTGGAGACTTCTGAAACAAACCACTCAGTTCTCTGCTCAGGAAACTAAATACTGTGTCTCAGGATCAAGGTTGACAGTTATTTTCACAGGGTCACAAGAAGGTCCGCCAATTTGTATTAATGCTGCAGTTGAATCATGGATAGGAAGAGTGGACAATTTCCTGTTCACAAACTGAGAGGAATGAATGAACACAAAGCAAGTTCACACATCATACTGCATTCTGCTTCAGAGTGTTGTTCCCCAGCTGAACCTGTCAGTACACTGTTGACTGGCTGGCTCAGATAGGCAGCATCTGGTTTCCATAACCCTTCTTCTCCCTTGCAGCATTGTGACCACTTCTGAAATGAAGTCCAGCCATTGTAAATGAATGTTGTGGCCAGTAATTCCACCAGGCTGCTCTGGACCTGCCACTGGAGTACCTCCTAGGTAGGCGGTGCCTGGCTAATGTACCAGGGGTGTTCTGAGAGGCACCTGTCAGCCCCTGCTTTGCAGACAAGTTTCTCAAGCCTGCCTGTGCCAGGACACTGCCTTAACACACCACCTGATCTGTTGGATACGGGGTCTAATTCCCACTGCAGAATTAGAAGCCAAGTCTGACTAGACAGTGCCTCAGGGGCAACAGATACCCACCCACAGATTCCAAAGCTAGCAGCCAGGTGATGAATCTTATGACACTCTGTCCCTGTGTTTTAGCTGTGTACAGGCTGTGCCCTTTTGAGCTGGTGAACCACACCTTGGCATAGCCACATGGAACCAGAGTTTTGACAAGAAAGCCCCATTTGCAAAAACCTATTTCCTGTGCTTAGATAACACAGTGGCTATGTTTCATAATTGAGGGCCCCCCTGTTCTTGTCATTGTTGTACAATAGAATGTAAAATCCTATGAATGTATTTCCTTAGGAAAACTGTTGTAAAAGTTTTTTTTTTATTAGGAGACAATATTTATTTAATACTGAACTTTGACCTACTTTGTGTTACTACAAAGTATACAAATTTAGGAAATTTGTATTTCCACATCTGTATTTTCTTGAAAATAATTTTATTACAGTATTCAATATACTATGTATTACTGATCTTTTTGTGAAAGGAAATTTACAGAATTTCATCAAAACTAGAAATATATTTTGAGTGGTTAAAATTGTGTATTAATGTTGTGAACATAATCATAGTTGAACTTTAATTCTGATTACAGAATAATGTGCCTTAAAATGCCCCTCCTCTGAACTGGGCAACATCTGTACAGGGGACACCAGCATAACCGAAGTGACTGCTAGTCTCAGTCTATTAAAAACATTTCAAGGCATTCTGGGTGCAAACTTTGTTTATAAATGAAAAACTATATCCGGAGTAATTTATAACAGTTTGTTATACAGTAAAATAAAGACGAACAGATGGTGTTTCTGAGGCCACTCTATTAGAGGTGGGAAGCTGTTGGACATATCTATGGGAAGCCTCCAATTTAGCATCTCTCAGACATAAAACAGACCAAAGACTTCCTGTGGCCAAATGGGCAGTGGATGGCTAAAGCAGTACCCACCATGGCCAAGGAGGTGGCTGAGATGCTAGAGACATCAAAGTGGGTGAGTGGGAAGGAATGTTGAGAAAGGGCACCAAGCCTGGTGGCCAAGAAGGGTCTCTGTGAGTTGAGACAGGACAGTCAGGGCAGAGATGTGTGATGGATCCTGTCAAACATGAGGCCTAGAGATCCTGCAACACATTTTTATTTTAATTTAAAAATATTATTTAAAAATTGTATACAGAAGAGCCTTCATTCAGTAGCTGATGGAAGCAGAAGCAGAGATTCACAGTTAAGCACTGAGCCAAACTCCTGGAGTCCAGTTGTAGAGAGAGAAGAGATGAGCAAAGGGGTCAAGATCATGCTGAGGAAGCCCACAGAAACAGCTGACTTGAGCAAGTGGGAGCTCATGGACTCCACACTGACAGCTGGGGAACCTGCATTAGACTGAACCAGGCCCCGTGAACATGAGTGTCAGTTGGAGGGCTTGGGCAGTCTAGGGGGTCTCTGGCAGTGGAACCAGTATTTATCCCTAGTGCACAAATGGGCTTTGGGAGCCCACTCCCTATGGAGGGATACCCCCTCAGCCTAGATACATGGGGGAGAGCCTAGGTCCTGCCCCAAAAGATGTGACACTTTTATTATCCCCCATGGGAGGCCTCACCCTCTCTAAGAGGTGAATTTGGTGGGATGGGGGGATGGTGAGGAAAATGGTAGGATGGGAAGACAGAACTGGGATTGGTATGTAAAACAAGATTGTTTTCAATTTAAATAAAAATTAACTTAAAAAATTGCATACAGAATCCCCAGAAATTGGCTATTTACAAGAGGAGTCTCAACTGTTTACAGTCATCTTAAGAGGATATAATGGGTAAACTTAGCAAAGAACACAGACTGGGTAA